TAATTGAGGTTATTAAAGCTTATAGTATTTTATAGTATATATATGTTCAATATTTTGAATTAAAATAAATGAAAAAAAGAGTTTCAAAGAAAAACGGTGTAGATATATTGAAGAAAAAGTAAAGCAATCAGTAGCAATTATTAACAGTACTTATCAATTTCATGTTCCAAATTTAACGGTTGAAAATAAAAATGATAAAACCAATCGGTACAGCTACTCAAATAATAAAGTTACTTATAATTCTGATACCGAGAACATTGGTTCGAGTTATGTAGACATTGATAATTTGACGTTCGACGAACAACCCACCCATAGTTCTGATAGCATAATTAGAAAAACAAGTTTATGTTCAGATCATGTTGAAAATAGTGAGCAGTTATCTTGCAAACTTGCTAAATGGACTGTAGAAAACAACATTAGTTTATCTGCACTGAGAGAGTTGCTTACTATTTTGCGCGAAGATCCTAATTCTTATTGCACCAATAATATACCAGCAGACCCTCGCACTCTTTTAAAAACGCCTAACAAAGCATATGGTACAAAAATGGGATTGGGTTTATTTCACTATTTTGGGATAGCTGAAACATTAAATTCTTTATGCATTGCTCTTAATATAAATGTAACGTCCAGCACAGAGTTTTCTCTTGCAGTTAATATTGATGGGCTACCTTTGAGTAAAAGTTCTGCAAGTTCATTTTGGCCCATTTTGTGTTCCGTCAAATCAATCGAAGCCCTTAAAAATAAAGTTTTCTTAGTAGCTCTTTATCATAGACATGATAAACCAAATTCCAATGATTTTTTACTTGATTTTGTTAATAAATGTGCAAAGTTAACAACAAATGGCATATTAATCAAGACCGTTATATGCAAATTTAAAATTGAAATGTTAATCTGTGATACACCTGCAAAATCATTTGTACTATCACTTAAAAGTCATTCAGGCTACTTTTCCTGCACAAAGTGCAATCAAGAAGGAGAAATGATTAACAATGTTATTTGTTTCGTTGAAACGGAAAATCTTGTAAAAAGAACTAATAATTCTTTTAGAAATAAACTTTATCCAGAACATCACGTTGGTGAAACTCTTTTCATTAACATTCCAAACTTTAATTTTATTGATAATGTGCCCTTGGACTATATGCACAATCTTTTGTTAGGCGGAACTAAGAGATTGCTATGCAATAGACGCTATGGGTGGATATTCGGTAGACCTCCTCACAAATTACGTGCAAAGGATGTTAATGATATTACTAATTTGCTTCTTAAACTAAGAAAATATATTCCTTGTAAATTTTTACGAAAGACTCGATCTATAGTAGAATGCAAGCGATACTATAAGGCTACTGAATTTAGACTCTTTTTACTATATACAGGTCCAATAGTCTTAAAACAAGTACTGTCTCCTAAAGTTTACAATAATTTTATTACCCTTAGCTTAGCAAGCACTATCTTAATTAGTAATTATTATTCAAAGTATGAACATTTTATTTCTTACGCTCACGAGCTCATGAAGCATTTTATTACTAATTCTATTCAAATTTATGGTCCAGATTTCATTTCTCATAATATACATAATTTTTTGCACTTAACTGATTGTGTAAAATTATTTGGTTCGCTAGACAATTTTAGTGCATTTCCATTTGAAAATTTTATGCAAAAATTAAAAAAAATGGTTCATAAATCTTCCCAACCCTTACAACAAGTTGTTCGTCGAATCGTTGAAGAGAATAATATTTTAAGACCTACTAAGAATACTGATGATAATTTGTCTACAGAATTGTTAATGGAACATTCTGATGGCCCTTTAATAAATACTTGTAATCCTCCTCAGTACAAAAAACTTAAAACTGCCGAATATTGTTTAAATATTAATAGAACTGCTGACCGATTTGTAGAATTGAAAAATAAAACAATAATTAAAATAAAAAATTTTGTTAGCCATAAAAATTCAACAGTTCTGTTAGGTTATAGCTACAGTTTACAAAATGATTTTTACTCTAAGCCATGTAATTCATCTTTGTTTGACATACAGTATATAAAAAAAAATAATAATTTACTTGAAATGTGGTCCATTGATGACATTAATAGGAAATTAATAGTTCTACCATTTAGAGGTCAATACGTTTCTTTCCCACTATTACACTTATAAGCAGAATTTGAAATTATTAAAAAAATTTTTAAACTGTAATTGTTAAATTAGTTTCATGTAATTAAAAATTACATTTTAATTTGTAATTAAATTCAATTATATTTGCAACTCTTAAGAATGTTTTAAATCAAAATGACGTTTGTTCACCATTTCCAATAAAGACAATTTAAATAGTGTTAATGATTTTTTATGAATATAAAGAATATTATAAAGAAAACAAAACTATATTTTTCAGTTTAATTTGTAGCTTTTAATTTTAAGCATTTTTATATAGTGTAAGCTTTTATGGGTTCTTATAATGAAAGTATTCCGTTCAAAAACTTGTCTCATACATTTTCCTATATAAAAATTAATTAAACATGCATTTTGTTCAGATTGCGCTTCATAAAAAATCTTATATAATCATGTCTATGATTATATTTTCGTTTAAATGCAATTTTACAGAAAATTTACCAAAGTTTATTAATAAAGAGATGTTACTAATTCTTTTCCACTCATAAAATTTAATGTCAAAATAGATTAGGCAAGTTTTGGAACAGATTGCTTAAATATTATATTGATATATAATATATATAATATTACATAAATTTTATATATAATAAAATATTAGTAGTATTCCCAGGTAGGGAATCGCGTAATTTGATGTCAAAATGACCTCATTTGACGTTAAAATAAGATCATTTGACATCAAAATAATATATGTTGCTATTTGGGTTATAGATTATAAATAGAATATGCTAAAAATTATCGTATTTTTTGTTTCTGAAAACGCGTTACTTTTTCTATATTATAAATATTAATTTTGATTTTTATACAATTACTGTTTCCATATATATCCATACATATAATTTTTGTTTTTTTAATTGGTAACGCAAAATTTTTTGTTTTATATATAGGTACTTCAAATTAAAGTTTATAAAAAATGCTAAATCTAATACTAATATTCTAATACACATAAAATTTTTGTAGCCATTTGATTTATTTATAAAATATTAGTTAAGGCTTAATTAAACCATATTATAAAATATGACGTCAGAAGCAAGAAATTATATGAAGCTGTTCTTGCAAATTATATCGAAATAAATAAGATTATTCGAGCAATAATATGAATTAATGAAATCCGTCGAATACTTTTTTTACTTCGTAAATCTGCAAGTAGCTGTAAATAATCTTGCTCAATCATGTCCACGTTTACTGAAAATGTAGGACATATGCAAATGAGTTATACGCATATTTATTAACAAATAGGGAGTTTGACGGATTTTACTAATTCATATTATCAAACACAGTAATTACATTCAAAAACTTATTTATTCGATATATATTATATAAAAAAAAAACCTCATGTTATTTCTTGCTTCTGACATCATAATTCAATATAGCTGTAATGAGGGATCAGTAGATGAAACGTACGCAGTAGAAAAAATTGAAACAATTTTGTCTTAAACACAAAATTGTTTCAATTTTTTTACAGGATATTTTATGTATTAATTATTAATAGTATTAATATTATACAAACATTTTGATCTGTTTATTTTTTCAAATAGATAAAGTACTTTTTAAAACAAGCTTCTTAATAAATTGTAATTTAACGTACTTATATTTTTTAAGTTTCTTATTTATGGAATACTGTGATCAAAGAAATAATGTTTATAATTTCTTGTTTAAAATATTTCAAAGTTTAATTTTAATATATTATAATATACTTTAATATAATATGTTATATAGATGTAATATATATTAAAATATATAAATATATATATATATATATATATATATATATATATTCGTAAATACGTATATTGTTTTTATTGCAAGTACCTACATCTGTAAATATAATACAAGATATTTTAGTAATTAAATATTTATGTACAGTGTATATTCGTGTATGGCATATTCTATGTATGTATAGTGATCTACAAACGATGTACATTGGATGTCTTTAATATGTACATATATAATGCACGTATATATATCCATACAATGTGCCTCATTTGTAAATCACTGTATATACATAGAATATCATTTATATACATAGAATATCATCTATAGATGTATATAGATGCAATTTATATACATTGGATATGAAAAAAATATTTAGTGTATATGTAAATTATCTGTCATATACTTTCCACGAATGTACATGGAATGTACCTATCTATACGCATATATATTGTATGGATATACAATGTATAAACAGAACATTAAATTTATATACAAATAGGATATCCAATGTACATTGTTTATACATCACTGTATATACATAGAATAAGTCATATTCACAGACGTATATGGAATACACATACATGAGATGTCCAATAAATATTTATTGTATATGAAGGAAGGTATCTGCTATATATATGTACTTCTCTGTATGTACATACTCGTACACGTGATAACCACGAGTTGCAACGGTCTACGTCTACGTAGCGAAGCCGGCGCCTGCTGTACACGCACACATATATGTATTGTTCAGAGCGTTCGGCGCAGAAATTTAAGCCAATGATTTAATAAAATCAGGGACCCGGACCGTACCGTAACCGAAACCAATAACCGTTCCATACCGTTTGTTTTAGTAGGACCGAAACCGTAAACCGTATTGAAATTCTATTAAATTTATAGCACCGGAACCATAACCGGACCGTTAAATTATTTTTGGTTTACGGTTCTTTTCGGTATTTCATTTCGGTTTTTGCGCAAATGACGGAAATGTCATAATGTTATGCACTACATTTTATGTATCCCGGTTGGTAAATAATTGGCGCGGGAGCTTTGTTGCACTGCTACAGCGTCGTTACTTATCATGCGAAACGTAGTATTGCATCATATGTACTATGTACAACACGTTGTATAAACGCACTGACGTTTCGGCATCAATTGATTTCTCTTCAAATTTATTCTCTTTTATATATAAGTAAGTACTCTTTTACACATCTGTTAATCGAATTTGATTATTCGATTTATATTAACAATATAAGACATTATATTAACAATATAAGAGAAATATTTTACATTGAATGACATTGATACATAACCTCTGTCTTCTACATATTTATCATTGATTTTTATAATTTTATATTAACATTATTAGTATTATATTATCGACTTTATTATTAATTCATAAATTTGTTTCTTGCTGTTGAAATTTTTTAAGGAATTATATTTATTGGATTCAGACAGTTTTCGTGCTTTATTATGGGTAGAAAACATACTAATAAAGCACACAAACATTTCACATATAACGATGTAGAAGATAGTTCACAGTGTGTCATCTGTAAATCTTCATTGAAGGTAAATGATTGATATTACTTTTATATTTTTATTCTTGTTTATATTAAAATTTTTAATATTTTAAAATTTCTTTCTAATCTCATTTTTTATAACTATAAAATTCTAAATATACATATTCTTTAAGGGTAATTATGGGACAAACTTAAAAAAACATTTAATTCGTTACCATGATTTTAAAGAAGAATATTTCACTGATATTTCTTTGAATAAAAAAGAAACGGGAAAGCATCGAAAAGAAATACAGCCACAAATAGATGAAGTAAATTCTATAAAAGTAAAAATGACAAAAAAAGATCTCGAAAACAATTGCATTGAATTAGTAACAGTTAATGGAAGACCATTTAGTATTTTAAATGACTCTGGTTTTCAAAATATTATAAATCCAATCAAATCGGCAATAGAAGATAAATATAAACAGAAAATTTCTATTTCGTCAGAATCAATACAAAGAAAAGTTAATGAAGAAGCTGATAAAATAAAAAAGGAAATATCTGAGGATATAAAAAACATTCTGATTTCAATAAAAGTGGACGCTGTCACTCGATTAGACAGATCCTTTTTAGGTATCAATATACAATATATTAAAGATACAAAAATTGTATTAAGAACATTAGCATTAAAAGAATTAAAAGAAAAACATACAGGTAATACTTTTTTATATTTATTTTATATATTTTAAATTCTAACACGTTTTATAATTAATATAATATTAATAATCTGCAGGCAAATATTTAAGAATGATTATTAGAAATGTTTGTTCTTCTTTTAATATATCATTAGATCAAATATATACCATAACGACTGATAATGGTGCTAATATGCTGAAAGCAGTAAAACTATTAGCTTCAGAATATGAAGACTCTGATATTGAAATAGAAGAAGATCAAAACAAGGATAATGAAAATAATTATAGTGATGATAATACATATTTAGAATCAGAAAAAAATGAAGGAAATAATGAACATGAAACAGATGACGTTTCAAATATTCTTCAAGAAATTGAAACTGAAGATTTAAACTATAATTTCCAAAATAACATTATAACAGGTAAAAAAAACTTTTAAGTAAATTAGGAGTAAATTAAACATTGACCATAACTAGCAATTATTCCATTTTATTAATCATCACTAAAAGATAATATAAAATATATAACTTTTTTATAGTATATATGAAATAAAATAAAGAATAGAAGTATGAGTTTTAATTTCTAATTAAAAAAAATATTTACAATTAACAATTAATATTTGATATTGAATATTATAGGAATTAGATGCGCAGCCCATACTTTACAATTGGCAGTTGATGACGCTTTAAAAAGAACAAAAGCTACATTACATCTAATATCAAAAGCTAGAAATTTAGTAAAAAAACTTAGAACACAAACATTTATTTACTTAATAAAAAAACAAAATTTAAAAAAACCTGTTATTGATTGTCCAACTCGATGGTGTTCTACATTGGATATGCTTGAACATTTATTATTATTAAAGGATTATTGTGAAAAGCTGGCTGTAACAAAATTTCAGAATTTTATGACATTAAAAGATAATGAATGGACAAAAATCGAAGAAATATGTGCAGCATTGCAACCATCAAAGATTTGCACAAAAAAGCTTCAAGCAGAACAATTAACCTTGAGTGATTTTTTTGGTGTTTGGTATGAAACAAAAATGATGACGGAAACAATACATACTCCTTTCGCTACACTTATTTTGGAACAAATGATATCTAGAGAACAAAAATTATTAAATAATGATGCATTATTATCTGCTGTCTTTCTAGACCCTCGATATAAAATCTTGTTAGATAAAACGCAAATAGAAAAAGCCAGAAACCATTTAAAACACATTTGGACTAAAATTATATCATTAAATAATAATGAATATTTAAATGAAAATTGTGAAAATGAACATTCTTCTTCAAATTCAAGCATGGCAGGCTCTACATGTGATGAATTTGAAAACCTCTTAAAAGTAAAAGAACGACAGTATTTAGCAAATTCAAGTTTATCATCATCCAAAGAATCAGATTTGCATCTTTTACGTGTTGTAACAGAACTTGAATCATATGATGTTGAGCAAAAGAGACTTAATAGAAAAACTAATATTTTACAATTTTGGGAAGAAAAACGAAAAAGTCAACCTGAATTATATAAACTAGCAATGGTTGTTTTGTCTGTTCCTGCAACGCAAGTTAGTGTGGAGCGACTCTTCTCTGGATTAAAATTTATTTTATCTCCTTTAAGAAGAAATGTTAACGAACGTATTTTGGAAAATCAATTACTTGTTAGAAGTAATAGGATATTCTTTCGTAAAGAAAAAAGGTTTGTTATTGGTTTTTATTTAATCTGTTCTATATATTTTATATTTTTTTTAAAAAGGCACATAAATTGAATCTTGAAATTAATTATTGTCTGTCTCTTTTTATAACATTAGAACAAACCATTCTAGCGATGGCGATAAAAACGAACAGAATTCCGACTATGAAAACGGACCGCTCATGAAACGTTCCAGAATTACAAAGAATTAACTTGACGGAGTCGATCGGCCAATCTCCGCATCGAGTAGCTTGTACCATTGCAAACCCATGTAGAATCCTATCCTATTGCAAACCCATGTAGAATCCTATGAAAAATTAATCATTGCAAATCCATGTAGAATCCTAGGCAAAATTAACCATTGCAAACCCATGTAGAATCGTACCCATTGCAAACCTATGTAGAATCCTATGAAAAATTAACCATTGCAAACTCATGTATAATCCTATGAAAAATTAACCATTGCAAACCCATGTAGAATTGTATTAAAAATTATCCATTGCAAACTTATGTAGAATCCTACATTGCAAACCCATGTACAATAGAATTGTATGAAAAATTATCGATTATAAACCCATGTACAATCGTAACAAAAGTAATGAAATAAAAAAAATAAAAAAATGTAGAATCGTACCATAAAAAACTTATCTTTTAAAAAAAAAGATAAACAAGATGCCAAGTCCATGCGCCATGTGAAAAAGAAATAAAAAAATTTTAGTTAAAAAAACTGGCGCGCTGCTAAGTTTCAAAATTACAATGCACCTTAAAGTAACATTAATTAATTTAAACACAAAACATATTTTAACTGTAATGAGTTTAAAAGTAACAATTTAATTTTAATATTGTTAGAATATTATTTAGCAGCGCTCCCAGTTTTTTAACTAAAATTTTTTTATTTCTTTTTCACATGGCGCATGGACTTGGCATCTTGTTTATCTTTTTTTTTAAAAGATAAGTTTTTTTATGGTACGATTCTACATTTTTTTATTTTTTTATTTCATTACTTTTGTTACGATTGTACATGGGTTTATAATCGATAATTTTTCATACAATTCTATTGTACATGGGTTTGCAATGTAGGATTCTACATAAGTTTGCAATGGATAATTTTTAATACAATTCTACATGGGTTTGCAATGGTTAATTTTTCATAGGATTCTACATGAGTTTGCAATGGTTAATTTTTCATAGGATTCTACATAGGTTTGCAATGGGTACGATTCTACATGGGATTGCAATGGTTAATTTTGCCTAGGATTCTACATGGATTTGCAATGATTAATTTTTCATAGGATTCTACATGGGTTTGCAATAGGATAGGATTCTACATGGGTTTGCAATGGATAATTTTTGTTAATGGCGTGCCCTTAACTGGTCGCCTTTTTTTACCTTTTTAAAGGTGAGTTTTTCGAGATTATATCATTCATTTTTGTATATTTTTATGACCGGAATAGAACAATTATTAAACATGTTTATCTAAACTTCTTTGCTTAAAATGATGTGTACAATCATATCCTAGAATCCTGATCATTCCTCCTAAAGCACCCTATTTATATAAATTTACCCATATGTGTGTGTGTTTGTGTATATGTGTGTTGTTGTGTGTGTGTACTAATGTCGAGCAGTTTTTATACATTTTCTATTAAATTTAGATAAAGTTGCAGGATTTCGAAAAAGAAAAAGTTGACACAGACTTTTTTCCTAAACGCGGCGATTTTCAAGGTTATTTAAAGGTCACTTATATTTTCAAAATAGAATTACCTTAATTTTTCTCATATAAATCGATTTAACTCGCAATATTTACTATAAAAAGTTGTAAAGATATAATTTTTACATAATCTTACATAAACTTCGAAATATTACAAATATTTTATTTTATGAAATATTTCAGTTTATGTAAAATTATGTTAACTATCTTTTAAATTATTCACTTTTAGCCATCTTACCCTTACAACCTTTTTATAGTGAATATTGCAACAAATTGGTTTATATATATAATATATATATAACATCAGTTATTATTAATTGATGTTTACATTTATTTTTAGACTTACTAGAGCTCAAATGCTCCACATTTTTGCAAAAACTGTTTTTATTCTACAAGATTTCAAATATGCTTTTAAATGATGATTAAATATTTCCTTTGTTTAATTATTTTTATTATTATTTTCAATCTCAATCAACTTTTTATAACTTATGCCAGCACGATACAAATACATGTGTCTTTATTTTTTTATTATTTTCATTATTATTTTTCAATCTCAATCAACTTCTATAACCTTATGCCAGCAGGATACAAATACATGTATGTCTTTATTATTGTATCAACTCTTGTCTTTTCCATGTAACCATGTCTTCATAGTTTGAATTATCCCTTCATCTTCTCAATCTTTCGCAGAGATTTAATTAATTAAATACACTTCACACGAAATAAAGTTTGCTGGAAGATATACAGCAAACGATAACTGTAAAAACATGATTACGTGGAAAGAACAAGAGTTGGTACAGTAAAGGCAAGTAAGTAAGTACATGTAATGTATCGTATTGGCATAACGCTATATCCGCGGAGCAGATAATGTGGCTGTAGAGGTAGTCTGCAGTGCAGCTAATGTGGACGTAGATGTTGATTGAGATAATTGTCTAATATAAAATAGAATTTAAAAATTTAGTTTAAAAAGCTGTTGCATATATAAATAAAGTTTATTTTTTCTAAATTTGGAATATGTTTAATTAATTAATTTTTTAAGTCTATGTTTAATAAATTTTTTAAGTCTGTATTCAATAATTTTATTCATTTGATAAATACATGTATGTCTTTATTTTGATATGTTTAATATAATTAGAAATTCATTATTAATTAGATATGTAAACTATAAATTCATATATAATATTTGAAAATATATGTGAATATTTAAATTTTTATCTTCTCCTTCCTCTCCTTCAATCTCTTTAATATCAATATGTGTATGTGTGTACACGCGCGCACATTTGTACGTATTTATTTAATTATTGGATAGTTGAGAGTACTTAATTGATAAAAAATTATGACAATAATAATCCTTGTTTTTTTTCTTATTATTTACTCAGATTTTTTTGTCTATCTTATAAGATAAACACTTTAGAGATTGAATATTTCAAGTAAACTAATTGTAAGTAAATTTCACATTAATGCATATAGATGTTTAATCATGAATGTACTAAATAAGTACACAAGACGAACAGTGAGTGAGTGAGTGAGAATGAGAGAGTGTGTGTGTGTGTGCGTGTGGTGTGAGAAAGAGAGA